AGAGAGAGAGAGAGAGAGAGAGAGAGAGAGAGAGAGAGAGAGAGAGAGAGAGAGAACTCAAAAACCTACACGTTTCGGATCACAAACTTTACCAAGTTAATTTCGTAAAACATTCCAAGTCATACAATGTTTGTTTGTCAAACAATACGTGTAAACATTTTGAAAGATGTATTATAATGAAGGATAATTTCAATCGCGTGTCGCTTTGTTTTGCGAGCACAAAACTTCACTATTTATTCGAGTCGAAACGTTTTGGTTTTAAATGATACCTGCCGAGGATCAAGCAATCATTTCTGACTCGCAATAGCCGAGTGATATCGTCAATTTCCAAAACGAATTTGTTGAGGCAATTTTGGGGTTTCTATGCGGCATGTGCCTCGATACAAAATGAACGCAATGCCCTTGGAAATCCCAAACAAGTCCAACGCATTTAGCACCAGATTTGGACGGAAGTTTAAGGAAAAGAACAAAAGAAATGTCTGTCGGACTCACCGAATTCTTGCCGGTCAGCAGCTCGGAATTGGTTCTGCGGTATCTCGGACGATCTCCGCGCAAAGGTGTGTCGTCCAAATGCCGGTCCTGCTGCTCGTGGCTCAAGCCTAGCCGCAACATGTCCATCTTGCAACGAGAGATTGTCACGAGATGTGAACGAATCTACACTAACCGAATCTACTTTCATACAGTCACTGCGTTACAGCGCTAATTAATACCCGGCTGAACTCTAGGAGAGATTATATGAGGAATACCGGAGACGTAAAAACAAACGTTAGATAGTTCCTTGCGATTGCATGAGCACGTATATCAAATTTATAAATATTTTCTTCTTATCAGGACGTTACAAAGTACGCTGTAAATACAAAAATGAGCTTTCCATGCTAATGACCAAATCGCGAATAACGAAAAAAATGTTATTGATATGACACGGAGACTCTGTACTAAGCCTTCTTTTTCGTTTAGATACTCACGCAACGTTAATTATTTGATTTTAAGCGAATTTTATTTGGTATGTACTGTAACCGCGCGCGTTATATTCTATTTCCTTTTATCAGGGACATACCTTTTGCACGGAATCTGACAGTGTTTCACATTTAATATTAATCACATCGATATCGCCTGTTTACTGAGACACCTCGGTCCAAACTAACATTAACTGTTTGTCGGCTGAAACACATACATCAGTTAGAACCGCTCTGAGTGCACGAAGATAACAACAACATTGTAAAGACTCACGGTATCGTTCTTTCGAATTATTATTCGAAGGCCCGTAAGTTTTCGAACTATTGTTAAAACCTGTAAGCTACCGTTCCGTGTAACGTAATATAATCGAGCAGAAATATTGTCGGTCAGAAATACCGCCCTCCCTATGTGTATATATAGATATTTTCTAAAGTTCTCATTTTCTCCGAAAATTTATTATTTTATATAATATATTAGTAGCAATTTAATATACGAATAGTCAATAAATTGCGAAAAAAAAAAAAAACAAAAATGCCGTACGCTGAATTTAGTGCGGCACTTAGCTTTGTTACGTTAAATTAAACTATTAATTATTATTTTGCTATTAACGGAGGCGTTTACAAACAGTGCGTATGAGCTCATTACAGTGCTCATTCCTCCGTTATCGTGGACATAGTTAGACGAGAAATTTGGGGGGGGAGAGAGAAAGAGAGGCAGGAAGTAGTATCTCATGTTACAACTTTACTACATTCACGACGCCGTTTTGGCTACTTCCGGGTTTCGTTTTATTACATATTTTATATTTAAAATGCACCAATGGCTATTCTCTCAGGCTTTTAGATTTCCAATTGCGAGAAACGCGTTAACTTATAAGAGCCAATACGGGTTGGTTATCACGAGTAAATTATTATTTATTGTCTCATCACAAGAAAGCTCTTTAATATTATTTTTAATACATCAAACGTTTGAATCAGTTTGAATTTTTTTATAACTCTTTGTAACATCAACATATTACTTCCCTTTTCTTTATCGAATTAAAATGTTGCGAAAAATACTCCCTGTTGAGACAGTAGTAGTTATTGTCACTATTAATAATAATAATATTATTGCGCACCGATAACCGCGAGTCTGATTTGCCGTTTCTTTTTATGTTTGAGTAAAATTTACTTTCAAGAATAGTCATTTTTAGCTCCAAATGTGAAATACGAGAATAAAAATCCACAGTATACGCGATATAAAAGAAAAAAAAAAAAAAGAAAAAAACGTTCTAATAAAACGCTCGCTTTTTATCATAAACAATTTTATATTTCACATTAAAATAAAATTCAAAAATGCTCACATACACATAGTCGTACATTTAATAATAGTGGAGATTTGGTAAAATGAGATACACATATGTATATACCTCGTTTGATTTGTCGCAAATCTCGATCTTACCAATACGTATACTCATACCTTATCACACGTTCGTAAATTATTTATACTTCTATATGTACGGAACTTATGCTTGTGCGACTGCAGTCGCGCAGCAAGTTTTACAGAAGAAAAAATTACTCTAATTCCATGCGTCGTTTTCCGCGAAAGCTCTCTTGTTAGTCACTTCGACATTGGTTGTGTTTTGTTCCCTACGTTTCTTGCGTCGCTTTCCTGTACAAGATGAAAATTGTATATATGTAAAAATCGTATAATATGATTTTTGTATGTACATTAAAAAAGTGTGAAAAAAGCGTATCTTGGTGGATACCTGTGGCGACTTCCCATCCCTCATCGGAGGCCTCTGTGGATGTCGAGAGGAAGGAGTGTGTTGTCATTGATGATAAGCTTGGTAATGATGATATTTTTGACAGGGTTGACATTGCGCCATTGCCGGACTGGCTGGCCACTGCACTGTCCGATACACTCCTAAAAACGAGAATTTCGTTTAGATATCAGCAATCCATCGCGCGTTAAAAAACAACGTTTATGATTTCATTTGCGAGCTTTTTTTCAAACTTGAGGTGTTTTTGTCCCAGAGATAACTGATATGATAAAACAGCTCAAGTTTTAAACAAAAAAAAAAATGTCGAAACTGATTCGATCCGATTCGTTTTGGTCTATCCTACGTCATTGACGTAGCATTTGCGCTCGTTCTTGATTAGATATATTTTAGAAACATATAGAGAAAGAATGAGAGAGAGTGGGAGGGAGAGGGGAGGAAGGAGAGAAAGGAAAAATAGAACGACAATTTCGACGTCATCGTACATCATCTCGAGGGATCTACTTGTTGCACGCACGTATGTTGAAGCTACTTGCGAAAATATTGCTGCCGCGTGCGCTGGCTCGTAATTTAAGCATATGCAACATTACATGTGCACGCATGTATGGACATAACTCGTTAGATATAGTTGACTGAAGCTGAGAACGACGAAGAAAAACTCGTGAATGAGATTATAAGCGCGCTCTTTAGGGCGCGATGGATTGCTGACTACTCTGTCGCTCTTCATCCCTTACATTCAAATTTTCGTTCTATATTAATGTGAACCAAAAGAAATGAATAAAAATATGAAAATAGGGGAAGGCAGTACAATATGACAGCAACTTGTACTTGTGTCATGAATCAAATTTCGATGGAAGATAGAGTCACACACGCGACGATACAATAATGAATTGCCAAACAATGACTAACATACAAACAGGAGAAAGTAAAGAGTGATACGCAAAGTAAGGTGAGAGAAGGTGGTAAGCGACTGGGAGAAGAAGAAGACGAGCAAGAAGACAACATAGTGGCTGAGCGTCGCGTGCATTAATTCAGAACGAGATCCCAGAAAGGCTCCTATGCAAATTTCTCGTGTACAGGAAATTCTAGAAGACCGCCTAGAGTCTGATCGTTTTTCTCTCTTCTCCTTCTTTTATCTTAAGATCATATAATGCGGATCTATAATGCGCGTTATTAATCCTTGCGTTATTAATCCTTTAATATATCTTACACAAACATGTGATAGCTCGCAGCGCAAAATAAATCGCGTACAAAACTGCTCAAATATTTTCGGCAGCAAAGTGCGTGTAATTTTCACAATTGTAACATGTGATACACCATTAAAATGTAACATAATTAACAATAAAAGAAAAAAAGATGACTACTCGTAAAATGAAACAAGCGATCGATATGTGAATAAGATTAGACCGTGATTGCGTGCTTCTTCGGGAGAAAAAAGTTCTTAATATATGTAAGTAATGTATGACCATTTCATTATTTTATTAGTATTTGAACGTGATTGCTGAGCTTCTAATTAAATTAATAAACTTAGATTGAGTTAAATTTAACTAATACTGTAAAGTACGAAAGATTAAAGTTGAATTAAGCTGCTTTGCATAAAGTATTACACATTCAAATATGTGTGTGTGTGTGTGTGTGTGTGTGTGTGTGTGTGTGTGTGTGTGTGTGTGTCAGTTATATATATATATATATATATAACTTACCCAAATGGTAACTTCCGTTTACGATCCTCAGAACAAGCGCCATTGGCATTTAAACTAGCTTGGTAATCCAGATATGTTTGTATTGTACAAACAGACTCTTTGGACAGAGAACTTATTACCGCGCCGACGTTTTCTCGTTTGAATAGAGCAATATAAGCGGATGTATTCGTTAACCACACAATATGCCCACCTCCTATACAGCATAAGTAGAAAAGCGATTATATATTTATAAATATATACACACACATCGACACAGATCACATACGCGCGCGCGCTCACATGTCGCTTATGGCACGTATTCTGCTTTAATTCGAACCTTATTTCTATAGCAATAACGTCAAATAATGTAACTATAAAACAGCAAGATTGCCACCTTACGTTTCAATAGGAGAGACGTATTCGGGAAAGAATGCGGCATACTTAACTGTATATAATACAATATACTTACCATATGGATTAAAAAGTTGATTTATGTCCATATTCTTCCAATCCTTAGGGAATGTTATGTGAAATATATGATCTCTACTGGGATTTGCTAAAAAGAAAACAGAAACATATAGATAAAGGCATATACATAATATGTTTAAACTGTTAGGACAAAACATTCAATTGTAACCATTTAAACTTTTACTTACGATCTTTTCCTGCTAAATTCACATATGGAATATCCTTTAGCCTCGCTATAGGAAGCCTATAAAAAAAGGAAAAAAGAAAAGAATTGAATTATGGATTGTCGATGAAAAGGATATAATTATAATTCTCATAAATAAAAATGATACAATGATTGAATTTTTTGGCACATAATACTCACTTGTTTAAAAAGGGATTTAATAAAGAAGAATCTGGCAATACTACTGCTTGCTCCGACTCTTTTATTGTTCCTGAAACAAGCAATCCAGCATATTGTATAATTTTTATTTACAATAAACTTACATTCTTATTAATATACAGATATGTGAGTATAAAATTAAGTAATAATATGTATCAACAAAGAAGTTCGTCCTTTTTCGGATGTTGGTGTCTGATATATTGTTACTAACCGAGATAATTGGACAACGCAATGAAGCATAATCCTGTAATATATGCGTCGTACCCTGCATCATGCAATTTCTTCACTGAGATTGAGTAACTGCGTCCTTCTACAGATTCTACATCAGGAATAGAAAAAGGTGGCTCTTTCATAATATCTAACAACGTGTCCAGATGCGATGACGACACATGCTCTTTAAAGGGCTGTGATTGGCAGATCACTTTTGTATCCAATAACCTTAAAAAAGAAAAAAGCAAGATAAACTTGGTTTCTAAGTCTTAATCTTTGTAACTGGTGTATTTGCTTTAAAATGTAATATTACATGTAATGATCAAAACGATTTTGTTTGCATGTTCTCGTGACATGATAATTTTTTTTAAATTTAGATTCGCTATATTGGCTCCGCCATTCTTTTTTAATTTTAATTTCAAAATTCGAATAATACACCACAAAAAAGCCCTATACACCAAGTTTTATAAAAATCGAACTAATAGTTTCCGAAACAAAAGGCCTGATCTCTATAAGGACCAGCCCATTCTCAAAGAGTTAAGTATTATGGAAAATGATTTTCAAAGTTAAAAAGTTCTGTTTATACCCGATTCTACCAACTTTGGTTAACTCAACCTGCTAGTTATTCTAACAGTACTGACCATTTATCAATTCTAAATAACGAGAAACGCGATTGATCTATTCCGTTGGAATAACCAGCCAGTTAAATTAATCAATGTTAGTAGAAACGGGCATTAGTAAAGTATAAAAAGAAAAAAATGACCTTACCTAGGAAATAGGTTATGAACCAGATTCTTAAATTCCGAATAGTCCGTTGGTAAAGGTGTAACAAATTGATGTATGATATGACATAGATCTAGCAGCATGTTATGACCGACTATTGTCTTTCCCTAAAATAAAGATAGAATATCTAAAATAATTTGTATCCCTCCCTCTCTCTCTTTCTTTTATTCTTTTCTGTCAAATATCTTTACTTATTCGCTAATTGTTCCAATCTCTTAATAAGCTACCTGAGAGTTAAATCATGTCTGTCTTCGTTTTTTCTTTAAATTGGACAGACAGACATATGATTCAACTACTAGGTAGCTTACCAAGAAATTGGAATAATTGGTCCTTGTAACACATTAGTGATTGCTGATTGGATTTTGATTGATTATATAAAAATATAGAGCACTGTCTAATTGGTGGTTACTAATCTGAATCAGTACCTACATTGCTCTGATTGGTAGAAAAGTAGTCACTAATCACCAATCGCAATGCAATCGGTAGTTTGATACGAGCTTTAAATAATATTGTTATATAAATACTAATATGTGTATGTATAGATGAAGTTTCTCTGAGTTTGTTTAAAAAAAAATATTCTTACAGACCATTAAAATTCAAAATTAAGGAAAACAATGTGTCAGAAAAGTTTGCAAGCAAGTTGATTCATTTTAAAGGATTAGTTATCAATATTAACCATGATTCTACTGGAAAATTTGTATTGTTGGAAAAATAAGTTATAAATAATACACTATATATTATATAAGTATTGATACATTCTCCTGAACTTTATACACATATTTTTTTCTATAACTAAATATATTTATAGTATAGCTATAGTATGGCAATACTTACAGAGTCTATAATTTTCTTCAAAAGCTTGCTGACTCCTACAGCCTGGTCAAATTCCAATTTCTCCTTCACACGTCTTTGGTCTTCTCTCTCTTGCTCTTGTTCTTTAGTACCCACTTTTTGCACCAAAAGGCAATTCCAAGTATTTTCAAATTTACTTTCTACTCTCACTTTGTCAGGCCATCTCTTCTTTGCTTCTTGATATACCAGTTTTTTTATAAAATTATTACACCTTTCTATCGTGATCTCCTCTTTGTCCGAAGTAAGGAAATTCTCTATTTTAGAACTGAAATTAATATATTATGTATACTTTCTTTACCTCTTATATGAGCAACATCTCTGGCACTAAAGATTTTAATTTTAACACAGTATTTTCTCCACAAATTTATTTAAACTAACTGATTTTTTAGCAATATCAAATAAAAAAAAATAAAGATCAAAGAGAAGATAAAGTTACCATATTTCCTCAATTTGAGGTCTGTCAGCATCTGATATTGAAATTGTAGCATCAAGATATTCTTCTTTTTGTTTTTGCTTCTCTTTCATACGTTTGAGAAGATTTTCTTCTTCATTTATATTAAGGTATGGTATGCCATATTTAAAGAGTTTATTGAAATCAAAATCTTGATTTGCCAGAAAAACCATTGAAGATGCTTGGCACATAAACCTGCAATCTGGTACCTGGCGATTCACTTGCTTAGGAAATACATAAAAGGTGTAAGAACGCTGAGAATATCTGAAGCAGAAAAATCATGATGTCTTCTTTATTCAACTTGTCCCTATTTACAGCAGTTTCAAAAGTATTTGCTCAGCTTAAAAATTAAATTTCGCATGCACAAACAAACACAAGGAAATATAAACCATGTGTGCACACACGCACACACATATGTGTATATAAATTTTATATAACTATCTTACCTTTTTGTCTCTGAATTATATGTAAATAAAGATAAGCCAAACTGTACAAGGAGAAAATTCATGGATCCTGCTTTGAGCTTGGCATAATACTGAGCTGGTGTATCAAAGGGAGTAGTATCCAGACCCGAATTAAGGCCTGTGAATTCAGCATCGATAGAGACAAAAGCAGCATGTTGTAAGTTATCGTCCAATTCGGACAACGCGTCCCAGAAATCTATGATAGTTGCATCAAATTAACAAAATAATCGAAAAAGAGAAAACAGAATTTTGTGAACAATTATCCAGTAAATTGGTATTATTTGGTATACTTACTGTGAATAGTAACTTCCATTGTTGCACGTCTTTGTTTACATGCACATCAGTGTACACATATGATTTAATCACAATTCCAAGTTCAGATCACAGATTCGTGCTTCTATGTATTAACAAGAATACTTATATGCATTTTTTGATTGAGAAATTCAAGCATATATAACAATATGCTGTATGCTAAATGTAATAAGAAAACATGTTTTGTTATAATACAGAAGTATTCGAAAGCGTAGTGCTTCACTTGTTCATTTATTCACGATTGGTTTAGGCGGTTGTAATGTTCCACGTCCTACTAGGACTGCGTTCCGAAATTCACTGCCAGTACTGAAAATCTAGTTCATGTCACATATACTATAGAGTTTCAGTATTGGCAGTGAATTTCGGAACGCAGCCTAGGTTGCGTTCGCTTTGGGCGCTTATGCGCTGTAAGCGTCAGGATGCCATTACATGAAGCGCGGAAACGCGGAAGACAAAATCTTACTAGATTTCCGCGTTCCGCAAATTTAATCATTTCTTCCCGTACGTTGAAAAAGCGGAAAAGCGGAAGGCCCAAAACTTTTCTCTATTGTCTTTTTATCCGAGGTACCAAGGTATGAATTCCAAAAAAATATTAGGTCCGAACGTGTTTGAACACGTTTTAATGTAACGGCGGTTAGGTTGAACAACTTGTGACAACTTGTGACAATGGATTTTTTCGCGCTTGTTCCGCGACTTTATTTTTTCTTAGGTTTGTTCGCGTTGCATGCCCCAATGTGCTCCTACTCGCTTCAACGCACTCTGATTGGTCCGCGTGGTGACGTAAACCAATCAGAGTGCGTTGGAGCAAGTAAGAGCACATTGAGGCATGCGACGCGAACAAACCTCTTATGTTACATTGAGCACAGTTTGCGCGGAAAAGCGATTTGGTGACAAATAAACATCTGTATTAATTTTTTAAAATTGTATTAACTTAATTTACTGCAATTTTTAATAATATGTTTATATTTTCAGCTTATCTGTTGAATACAAGCATTTTAATTAATAAATACCGTTAAAAATTAATATTTTATAATTCCCCATACCGCTTTTCCGCTCAAAATATGCCTCATGTAATATAAGGCAATCAAAACAGACGCAGAACACGTAGCGGATCTAGTAAGATTTTGTCTTCCGCGCTTCATGTAATGGTACCCTCATTCTGTCTTCTTCCATGTAATGAGAGCATGTAATGAGCGATAAAGATAGAATGACGCTTACAGCGCGTAAGCGAAGGCAGCCCTAGAGAGAAGTTAGAAAACAGTATGGCCGGTATTCATAGTCCGATCTTATATTTAAGATCATCTTAAATACTAGGTGTTTACGACAATTAGGGGTACGTTCAGATTCCCTACTCGGGTGCACTCTATTACTAGAAACACTATAGTATATGTTATATACACCGTAGAACTTCTAGTATTATAGCTCCTGCACACAGGGGTGTATATCAGTTGGACACGGGGCAATTGGACACAGTCCAATCACAAGTCGCTGTTCCAAGGGACCCTACAAATGTCTCTAATCACACGGTGCTGTGATTGGCTGTGTCCAAATGCACCGTGTCCAAGTGCACCGCTCCCTGCACACAGAACGCGGTAATGCTTGCCGCGCGGCGGAAGTCCGCGCGACAGCCAATCCATATGTTTTTTTTCCGTAAAAGCTAGAAGGTTATTACGGAAAGTAGCATATTGATTGGCTGTCGCGCGAACTTCCGCCGCGCAGCAAGCATTACCGCGTCCTGTGTGCAGGAGCCATTAGAGTGCACCCGGGTAGGGAATCTGAACGCACCCTAGAATTGGAGTTAGTTCCACTAAAAATTATGATAGGCACGACCATTTAGTACTTTTGTAGTTTATGACAACTTCTAAAGCTCGTATCAGATTAAGATTGAGATTGAATTGAAAATTGGCCAATCAGAGCAAAATTCACTAAGCTCAAGTTTGGTGAACTTTGTTCTGATTGGCCAATTTTCAATTTAATCTCAATCTTAATCCGTAGTCTGATACGGGCTTAACTCAATGCCTTACCATAGGAACAAGCTAGAATAAGAAGTAAAGAACGCGTATTCGACATCAGGTAATAATTTCGTAAAATCTCACGATTATATCTATATTTTTTTAGCGTGTGGTAACATTGTTTGTATTTTATTGTATTTTATTGTATTTTATTTTTTATTGTATGTATATATCTGTAGATTTTTGCGAAATTCAGTCAAAATCTACAAATATATACATACAATAAAAAATAATAAAATACAAACAATGTTACCACACGCTAAAAAAATATGGATATAATCGTGAGATTTTACGAATTATCTGATGTCAAATGCGCGTTCTTTACTTCTTACTCCAGCTTGTTCTTATGGTAAGGCATTGAGTTAGAAGTTGTCATAAACTACAAAAGTATTAGATGGTCGTGCCTATCATAATTTTTGGCCCTAGTGGAATTAACTCTAATAGCGAATTCGGTTGCTTGCACTAGTGTGCACTGAGTGCGCACTAAGGCTTGTTCATAGTATGTTATTATATTTAAAGATTGTCTTAAATAATTCTCAAATAAATTCTCAAATATTTTTAACCATAATATGATATGTATAACATCCGTACAAATCATTTTATTAGTTAAAATGTTTTTAAATATGTATTTAAGACACGATCTTAAATATAAGAATGTACTGTAAACAAGCCTTAATGCGCACTCAGTGCGCACTAGTGCAAGCTACCGAATTCGCTATAACTCTAATTGTCGTAAACACCTAATGGTCTGGTTTACATCGTGCACTTGATACGCGTACTAAATAGTAACTTTCTATTAGATAATCTTAACATCGACGATATATATAAACAACGGTATATTAACTCTGGTATAATACTCATCAGCAAAACATATTGTATTGATTGAATGTGTCGCCGTTGATATACATTGTCGATATTAAGATTATCTAATAGAAAGATACTATTTAGTACGCGTATCAAGTGCACGATGTAAACCAAGCCAATGTCTTAAAATGTCATAAACTAGGCGACTCGGCGCCTCACTGTGATTGGTCCATTAAGAGTCGGCAGTCGTAGTCGGCAGTCGGTTCGGCCTGTGCAGTCGGTAGTCTGATACGGGCTTTACGTTCACGATCATGCTTACGCAATTGTAGAATGATCTTAACATAAATTATAGCTTTTCAATGCTGGCAGCGAATTTTGGAACATAGTCTACGTTCGTTTTGAGCGCTCGCGCGCTGGAAGCGTCATTCTACCTGTGTTGCTCATTACATTTCAAAGAAAGATAAAATAATGACACTTTAGTGTGTAGGCTACATTAGTTTAATCAAAACTCAGTGAAAATCATCCGTGGTGTGTGTACATGATAAAATGTTGAATGTTCCATAAAACATATATATCAATAAAGTTTTTGCCTTAAATTATAATTACTGCGAATAATTGTATTTCAAAGTGACGCCACAGTCAAATTGTGTTTGATTTGGAATATGTTAGGAACAAATATTTTACCTGCAACATCTTTTACGTAACGAAAAACATCGAATAATGGAAGATTCTGCAAAATTTGAGGATATCGAATCGAATAACGTATCTTCTGGGAGTTCTCAAATAAACCAAACGTTTCTCGACACAAGACCTTTGATAGACAATAAAAATACGCAGGCTCGCGTCGTCCGAAGTACTAAAAAAGTCAAACTTGATAATAGCGATCACTCTAATATTGAAAAAAAAGGTATGTTGAAGTATCGATATAAGACAAGATACCATTGGTATGTGACAGTTGTGTCCTTAGACATGTTCCTTTTCTCTTTTTTCTTATAGATGCTAAAGATGAGGAAACAACAGAAGCTAAAGTCAGACCTCTTAAACGTTCCTGCGAATTATGGTCTATGGAGGATAAGAATACCTTTTTTAAGGCACTCAATGAATACGGAAAAGACTTTGATGCTTTGCAGAGCTATTTCTTGAGCCAAGGCAAAAAGAGGGGTCTATCTGATGCTATTATAAAAAATAAGGAACAAATCCGACATTTTTACTATAGAACTTGGCTAAAGATATCAAAGCACCTTAAGTTCTCAGAAGGTAAAATATTTAAATTGAAACATTTGTAAATATATATATATTTATCATGAAGCTTACAATTCATTGTTTTATAAATAGATGTAAAAAAAACTGCACAGGAATTGTATGGGTTGATAAATTATGGCGAACTTAGAAGAAAACTACCTCGGATTCACGAAAAGGTCCACTTAAGATTGAACGAGCTGGTATATTGGGGATCTACTCAGGTCAGACTTAGAGGAAAAACTATGAGGATCAAAACGCCTATATGCAGAGCACTTAGAAAATTGAATCAGTTAGAAGGTATACTTTCGATATACACATGTTTCAGAGAATATTTACATGGCAAACACCATACAAGTAGCATGCGACGAAATCAGTTTAATATATAGGACAGGGAATATCAGTAGTTGTCCAAGTAAACAATCAATGATTCATTAAAATAGTGCTGTATTAAACACATTTCACTGCAGATTGGCAAGAAGAAATTAAATTACCATCCAGAATAACAATAGAACTGAGACCACATAATAATATGGCTTGGTGGCAAGTACAAGCGGCATCCATGAATCCTCGGGTGCGGACGCTTCTACCGATACAGAGACGCCTCTCGAGTTTGTTGATATTTTTACAACAACGATGGCGACTAACAAAATACGCTACAGTATCCTTATCCTCTTACTGATACACAGAAAAAAAAGAAAGAGACAACTGAATATACTTTATTGAAGCAAATTTACACACTCTTTATCTCACACATCTGTTGTCACGGAGATGCGTGTAAAAGTGTTTCATTGTATCTACAGAGATAGACATCCTTAAATTGCACACAGTACACCACTGTAGAAAATCTCATCGCCAATGATGTAAAAGATACTCGTTTATTACGAGTTGCTCCACTAGAAGGATGCAAAATTGCTTTACCGATGGTTAATCTTGGAGAATATCTCACTAGTAACAGTCTCAGCTTGAATTCATATGAGAAACGTCTTGGCTTGAAAAGCTCAAGAGTAGATTTATTAGGATCCGTGCAACATTTAAAGGGAATAGGAAAAAAAGGTATTAAACGATATAAATTAGACAAGAAGGTCTTGAACCGCATGGATGAGAATTGCGCGCTGCCAGATATCAGTAGCGACATGGATCTCTTGGAGACCGGGAATAGTGTGTCTGAAAAACCAGCGAATATAAATAATATAGAGAAACCGTCGTCTGAGCAACATTCAGAGCCCAGCAGATTTCCAGGTAGAGAAACTGTCGATAGAATTCGAAGGGGCTGGAACGTCGAGGAAGCGAACACGATTACTATGGGTGATCTCTTTTTAATGGTACGTGATGTTACGTTAATCCTCGAAATAATTGCAGCCACATGCATAGTGCATATCGTATATAGATATTTTAGTACATATAATAGTATTGCGCGTATTGTTTGCATTCTTTTTTTTCTCATATCAGAAATATATTCTAATTTCTCCAAGTTCTCTTTCTTTCTTCCAACAGTTTGGTCGCGAATCGAAAATTACACTGGAATATCGATGGGATTGGCTGTCTAGCGAGCAATATACTACAGATTCGTCGAGCGTCATGCGTGACGATAGTTTATGTTTAGTCTTACAAAAGTTACTATCACTGGCGAAACATAATTATGGCACAAACAAGGTAAAACTTTACTGATTTTACGACACAGTGAATGTGCTTATTTCTCAAATGATTGCAAATGTTAATATTATCGTTCGTTTTCTTTCTTAGGTGTACGATAACACATCAGGAAGCAACGAAACTGTAATCTCGTCTCGCGTCCCGTCCATTAAAGAATCTGTTAAAGAGTCTACATTCAGAAGACCTCTTATTCCACAGGCTTATCATAAGACTGGCACGGCTGACGCGTTTAAAACGCAACTTGACGTAAGCTTAATTATATTACATTATATGTAGTTCTCAATTGTACACGAAAACTAATCTGTCCTTTATCAAGCGTTTCGGGAATGAAGTTTTGTGCTAAACATTTATCCTTTCATGATTTATACATTACAGAAATTCAAAACGCGTTTCTGTAAACGTGGTAGAACCGTGAGACAAAAGAGTCTCGTGATACAAAGGGTGCTGCCTATCGTATCTTCACCGAATATATCATCGGCATGTTTGACGACTGACGATCCGAATAAAATTGATGAATCTTCATTGTGCCAAACGGAGACCCACAAAATGGTAGCGGTAAATGCGAGCGAGACCCAAGACAAAAATTTTCTAGACGTCCTAGAGACTAACGGAGATGTAAAGAATTCCAATTCTATTATCACCAGTGCTACTCAAATCCTTAAAGAAGGCGAACATCAGTGGCTGAACAGCGAGGTCCGCGAATTTATCCGCATAGAAATTATATTGTACAAACTTGGTATAATTTTTTTCTTTTTTCTCTGAAATGAAAAGTTAATATTTACCGAACGATCGAAATACAGGTTGCAGATTTCTCATTGAGCAGCTTCTTGGGACAACTTGAATCGCCCATTAAAAGCTCACAGAGAAGTCAAGCGGGCGAACAAATCATGGATGATGCTCGTCCTTCTTCTGATGTAAGTATACAAGTATCATAAATGAGACGCTCAATATATTGAAAATATTCAATTTCTCAACTAAAGAGACTAAGACTAATCGCAGGATTTTAAGCGTAATAATCATAAATAATCACAACGGTAGGATAACATTGTTCAATATGTAAAAATGTTCTGTACTGAAATTTTGCTTTGAAACTTTAAACGTTGCTTTAAAAAGCCGTAGCGTTCAACTGACTCCGTCACGATTTGATTTTATTAATTTTATATATATATATATATATATATATATATATATATATATATACACATATACATACATATACATGTGTGTGTGTGTGTGTGTGTGTGTGTGTGTGTGTGCGTGCGTGCGTGCGTGCGTGCGTGCGTGCGTACGTGTATGAATATTTTTTATAATATTTCTCTATTTTTATTTAATTTATTTATTTTCTATTTATTTAATATTTAATTTAATTATATATTTAATTTTATTAATTTCTTATGAATATTAATATTACTCTACAATATATCTGTGTTATTAGTGAGATATATGTGAAATTATATTGAAAAGTACCCTCATGAAAAGTACTCATTGTCGTGCAGCTTCTAATGTTACATCTTTTGATTTCGCAATGATGTTTCAGGTTGTGTCGCAAATGCAATGCCTCATGGGAGAAAACAGCGTTGACTATATGGCAAAATTTGCAAATCTGGCTTCGCAGATAGCGTCTGATGAAAATAAGAAATAGGTAACTTTGGATGTGTATCTTTTTTTTAGATGAAACAATTTTTGTATTTTCATATTAATTGCACGAAAGCATCCAGTAACTTTCTTCTTTTCTCCTCTCTCTCTCTCTCTCTCTCTCTCTCTCTCTCTCTCTCTCTCTCTCTCTCTCTCCTTCTTCCTCTCCCTTTCCTCTCCCTTCATGTTTTCTTTCGGTCTATCAAAACACCAGCGATCATATACACATTTATTCGCATCTAATTAATTTCTGCAAAAGTGGAAAATGTCACATCATCGATAAGTGGTCATGATCCTAAAGTGGAAGTATATTGCAGTGTTGTAAATCCCAAACGATATTTGCAAAAACCTGAAACAACGAATGATACAGTAACCGCTACTTCCGTCACTACATCTCGTTGGATTCTTTTCCTGAGAAGAAACCGCCATCGCCGTATCATCCTGAGGCGATAAGAACAGTCGACACAGAGCTAATTGCTCCGCTGTTTTAGATACCAACTTTATGTTAGTCAGATTGTCGAATCTCACAACGAACACGTGAGTGACGAGTACGTGAGAATTCAAGTGTACATTCTTATTATGTTCGATACAATATGATTACAAATCGAAATTTCAGTCGCAATTCTTTGATTGTAACAGTCACACTTTTTGTTCTGTTGCAGTTTGCAAAAATATGCACGCGCACTTTTTTTCTTACATTTTCTAATATTTTATTTAGAGCGATAAACCTGTTTAACCAGCTGCTAATGAATGGAAACATCCCAGCGCTAGAGTGGATGCTTGTATTCTCGGAAACGAAACCCACGGCCTTTTCCCTGGAGAGTTGCGAAATACACATCAAAATGATTCATAGTGCTTACGTCCGCGTGACCACCGACGTGTATACATTTATCTAGAATCCGCGTTAGCTGCAGGTGCAATTATCCGTACAGACGTAAGCGTTCTGTCTTGAATAATTTAATCCTTCGAATTGATCGATTATTCGGGAAAGTTGAATATTTCCAATTAATTGTACGTAATTACCACAAGTAAATTTTGTATAAGTAGTTTCCTTGTAGTCTTGTTGTAGATGCGCGATCGGATACGCGACGTAATATAATATTTGCGGTTTTTTCAACACTATTACGTATACGAAAGAGATGCAAGGAACTACCGAAATAATTTATTAACTACATCTTGTATCGCGCAACGAAATGCAACGTTACAGCTGTGATTCTTCGTTGAGAATCGAACAATTATAGTTGTTACATTGTAATCTATACGCGCGCACACACACACACACACAAAACAATTGTATTCACCTTATTACCTGCACGCATTTTTTGTGAAGAAATTTATTACGAGGTGCGTTGCGTTTGTATGAAAATTATAATATATAAAACGAGGCGTAGAACGAACAATATATGACAACGTAAGGAAGATCACAGCTGTACCGACGTGTGTACGACATACATCCACAAGGTACATCGTGTTGTACTATAAATAAACTCGTGCATAGGCGCCTCTACAGCGTGATGCAAATACATACGTTCGGAAATTTCAAACTGTCATCTCACCTGTATGTCTCGATACGACTCGAACGTAATACGTCAAAAATATCGAAATGTTTCGCTTAATCAAGGACCACATTCTGGACACATAGCAAATAACAAAGATACGGCTCTTTCTAATTCTCGAATTGTGAAAACGTTATACTTATGATATGTTTATGTAAGAAAAACAAAAATCAAACGTTAAATGTGCGTCCAGAGTGAGTTCCCAGTCGATCCCGGTCGGATGTCGAAAGATTGACCGCCGAAACTACTTGTTCGAATTTGAAGGCGAATGTATATGATAACGATGTGTGTATGTTCTTTTTGAGGAGATCGACGCCAATGAAGCACAAAGCAATTACTGCGTCAGCTATCGCGGCTCGACTCGACGTGTACAGTGGCGGTGATTGGCCGCGACCGCAGAGCGGGAAATCCCCGTTGAAACCTGCTCAGACCGCGGTTGCGTCCCACCGTGATCTTTCAGCAGTCGCAATCGCGTCTCATACTTCCCCGTCATTCTTCGTCGAGTGGAGCAACCTCGTGGCTCGATCGCTCGGTTTAGAACACGGTTGATCGTTGATACTAATAGCGGTGTGTTGCTCGCTCGCGGCGTCTAACGCGTCGGGACGACAACTTCGTACCTTTCTCGTCTCGAGGACGACACGATGCGATGAATTGTTATCGCGCAACGATACATTCTTTATCAATTACTGCCGCACGCATTCTCGCGCGACGCACTTGATTCTTGTATATACAATTGTCGATCGGCCGCACATAAGTGCACACTCGCGAAAGCGAGCGCGACTGGCGGCTGCTTTCCTTTTTGCAGACTGTATACGCATTATTGTTTACGTGGATATTGTTATATGATAAGATTAAAGTGAAAGTGTCGGTGACGACGAATAAGAGATGGATTCCTTTAACAATTACGGCAAGGATGATTTATCGGAGGTGAGTTTTGATATACAGTAGAAGAAGTGCGATAACATAGTACTCGCGAATTGTTAATTGACGTATCCCGTTTGTCCGAAGGGTCGTGTTTTTGACTTTGTGTGCGTGTGTTTATCTATCTACGTGTAATTTCAGATGTATCCGTCGTTCATTAATTTGCACGAGGACGAGAACGATCATTTGCTCTTGGACATGGACTCTCTGGTGCCGAGACGGAGTAATTTCTTAGCGGGTCGCGAGCCGGCCAGGAAGAAATGTTTATTCGGTAATGATACATACATAGAAGCAAATATAAATTTTGAGACCTCCGCGCAATAACGAGATACTCTATCGCTTTCGAGTTCGAGATATACACAAAACACATGCCAGAAACGAACGACTGAATTTTAGAGCTTTTCCCACTGAGAACAGTGTTTTTTTTTTTCTTTTTTTGTCGTCGATGTCATTGAAACAAGCTGTCGAAATTCGGTCACTTTGACGGTCTTGTTTTTTTTTTTTTATTTGCTTTGCGAAGCAATACGCGCAGCAGTAGTATATCAGTGACGCTAATAAGTATATTATTACTCGTGCGGTGAAGCGGCAAGCGGAATTTCAATGTAAAACATGTTTGTAGTCGTTAACATTGCGACAAACTAACGACGCCAACAAGTAAACGTTTTTTTTTTTACATCGCACTCGTGATGCAAACTGCCGTGGTGGTATCTCTCCTAAAGCGACCTCCAATTTTTTTTCTCTTTTTCACTCGCTCGCTACGGGTCTGCACGATTACTAATGCGGCGACAGTTACTGGAGGGGGCTTCCCGGGACTGTTTAGCGTTGACGTGTTGCATCGATTTATAGGAAACCGCGCTAACTTTAGCATTTAATCGTTTGATCGATCTAAAACGACGTTTTCGCATTCAAAATGTATTTATGCGGATTTGCGTGGCGCGCAAACATCGCGGGTCGACGCGAAATGCCGACGACAAATACGACTTTTTAACGTGATTTCCATTTAAATAGGTGATGAGAACGAGGAGATCGACGGCACCGGATGGTCGGACAAACCTATCAGAAACTGGTGTCAGGAGGAAACAATAAACTGGCTTATGTCAGCCGCGTCGTATATGGGCCAGCCTTACAGCTCCATTCAGCACAGTCTCGCCGTTCCTGGAAAAGACATCGTCGCCTTTACGCGACAAGATTTTATCAGCCACGATCCTGTATACGGCGATCGATTATACGATCTTCTTCACTCGCAACGTGTTTCGAATCTATGTACGTAAATGGACCTTAAGCAACAAGCGACACCAGTAGTGTTCTAGAATTCCGGCGTTGATTTAAAGACAAGAGTACTTTGACGAACATAAAATCGATCTTTTCTCAGGCTTCAAGCGTTTGCTAAAGCGCTGTTCGATATCTCACTGTACAATCGCTAATCTTTGTGTAAAAATCCTAAAACAGCAAAGTCCGTGATGAAAGTAATCTATCATTTGATATATACATATTCTCGAAGTTTCTTCGAGTGAAATTCCGCTCGGAAAACGAAGTGAATGCGGAGTTACGCAGATTGACTTTTCACTCGTATATACAGGAAATTTATCCACTCTGAAACGTTGAGCGCGTTTCATATAATTATATTCGAAATTATGTGCCGAATTAGGGTACGAATTTATGATCTACAACTCCGTCGTTGAAGGAATAAATTTATTTTAATCGATTCGGATATTAACTTGTGCGAAACCATTCCGAGCTTAAATCAAGTACTTGTGAATCCGAGATTTTCACTATTGCTTCGAGTGAATCTTCATCCATTTTGAGTGGGATTTTGTTCGAAAACGTTCGAAATAATCCAGCATTGAACTTACGAAATTTTAAAAACATGATTTTGATATTGTTCTTACAGTGCCGTCCTTTCGTACTATTCAATCACAGTCGGAAGATGAGTATGCGCGAATCAGTTCCAGCAATATATCCGGTAAATTATGAAAAGATATAGAACATTATCCGACTGCTTTTGCTTTTTACGTCTTGCTTTGACGTTTTTTCTCACTTTTCCAGATGCAGAGTCAGACAACAGCGTGGAAGTTGCAACCAAAAGACTACCTGGCAGACCGAGAGTATTAAAGACAAAAAAGAATTGTGAGTACCATCGCGAGATGTGCCTTTTGATGTAATTCGGAGATGCATACTAGAATAACAAGACATTTATCGACTTGTACAATTGCACTTGCAGCTGCCAGTCAGGGAAAATTATGGGAGTTCATCAGAGATTTGTTACGTAATAGAGAAACGTGTCCCAGCTTGATTTGCTGGGAAGACTACTCGCAAGCCAAGTTTCGTTTTGTGAAAAGCGATGAAGTGGCGAAACGGTGGGGTTCGCGAAAAGGAAATACTAAAATGACTTATGAAAAGCTTAGTAGAGCCATGAGGTAAACAATGATAATTTCCAATAAAAAATATTTGAAATTTCAGAATATATTCATTTATCTTTTGGATGGTATCTCTTTTTTTTTTAGATATTATTACAAAAGCAAAATATTTTTGCCGGTGCTTGGACGAAGATTGGTGTACCAATTTGGTCCAAATGCAAAGGGATGGCAAACGGACAACCCGAATTTCCGACACTAGAGCGACGATGTTATCGAAAAAACAAAAGGTTTACGATAATAGACTACGCGGAAAAGCCCAGTATACCGCTTTATTTCACATGATTGAAGACAATCATTGATGATGAATGAAGATGATCATTTCTAAAGAGCTTTTATATTGATTGTACTTTGAATAGAGCGTCAAAAAAAAATAAGTTGCGGCCAAAAAATTTTCTTTTTGGCCAACAATAATACAACAAGATATGATGGAAAATGTTGCTACAATTAGAAACAAATGAAATCTGAAGGAAAATAGGAATTTGATTTTCCCTCTTTATCTCAGGTGTTATACAACTTACGGGTCAATATTTTACGTGTAGATACTGTTGTATTATATGTTTTAAAACTTCCTTTCTTGGTCAATCACATTTAGCGACAGATATGATTGCAACAAATCCAAAAATATTGTTGAAACAGCCAAGCGACTGTTTCATTCCTCAAAGCGATATTACGAAGGAAAACAAAAGTTTTATAAAAGAAAGCTATATTTTCCTCGATATTGTATACTATGTGATCTTTGCATGTATATATTTACTATTTATATCGTATCTACAGATAAGAACCCCTTATTCGTTTCTGTCGGCATCTTGTACATTCTCTTGGCATAACAAATATAAATTTATTCATTCTGTACATTTGAAAAAAGTTGTGTCAAAAATGTTACTTATCTAAACACACGCACGAACATACATATCTCACAGTTTCTTAGAAAATAAAAAAGCATTTTTCTTTAAGGTTAATCTCTATTTCCGCCTTTTCTTCATTGCTGAGTTAAAATCCAATTTTACCTTCCTTTTTCGAAGCTATAAAAAGTAAGTTTTCATTATCTCTGTATTATTACTATATCAAGAAATATTTTATTATTCCGATTAGATACTTCTGATCAGTGTGGAAGTATGTAATATGGATATTATGTAAGCACAAAAAACACGAAACAGCAATGAACCTTTCTTCAAATTATTGTCTAAACAGATATACAAATCAATTACCTGATTTTGCAAATGCCGATCCCTTTCTTCTTTTGCTTCTTTCGTTTCCTCGTATTTGGACGTATTATTTGCACACGGATCGATATATTGGAAGACAAAATTTCTTGTGTTTACCGTATGAGAAGCAGGATCATTTTGTTTTGCCAATGAAGCTATTCTCGCCAATGATTCTTCTCCTCGAGTTAAAAGTGAACGTCTTTTTATGACATCCTGTAAGATATACACAGTAATATTTTCTTTCTTTTAAACAATATCTAATCAATATATGTGTGGAAGAGCATATAGAAATCGCACAAGCAAAAGGCATCAAATGACAAAAATCTTTCTTTCAAATTCTGTAAATTATAAAAGTATTTTTAGATTATATGAGAAGTTTCTTGTTGAATCATGGATAAAAAATCCGCGGCGATATCATATTTCTCTAATTATTAATCAATTAACAGCATATCTTACATATATTGTCTGAGATTTTTTCCCAGTGTTTGGAGCATACAAAAGATCCGTTATATTCCGTGGCATGATCGGTTCCATATTTTCGGATAAATCCGCTTTGTCCGAAGAAACTTGTTTTTGAGACTCGTTGCTCTTGGTTTTCTTGAGTGTTTCCAGTCCAAATTTGAAAATTTGACTATCGCATAAATCATCTTCGATTTCGTTGTTTAAAGTTTTCTATAAACACATGTAGAAAAATAATGCACGTTTGCAAATATTCTTGAAAAATATTGATATTATTGTGCAATATTTTTATACCATTCTTTCTTCGAGAAATTTGTCCCTTTCGTGTTTGTGTTTATTCCACTTTGCTTCTTCTTCATCTTCTTGCAAATCTACCCAACCATCATTCTCGCCAAGCATTTGAGGCATCTCGATATCATTTCCTAATTTATCTAGTAGCATTTATCAGTAATATTAGTTGCATATACACGTTAAATCATTAGATAAATTTCACACACACACACATATATACACAGCTCATACCTATATTCCTCCATTTGAATTTTCGCTCACGACCTGCTCCATCTGTATGCAAATCACCATCCTCAAACAACAATTCCTTAAGCAGTCGAACCTCTTTTTTATCTTCATCCAGCACTTGTTTCATATGAATCTTCCCCAGTTGGTTTCTCACTTCATCCTCATCCAAGTGTTCTTCATCAGCCTCTTCAAATTCCAATTTATCCAAGTCCTTTTCATCCTCATCAGCGGAATCCCAATCACTTTCACTCAATTCAGCTTCCTTTTCCAAGAAATCAGCTGCGACTTTTTGTATATCCTTCTTCGGTATAACCATCACTTCGTTTTCCTCAGAATCATAGTCTACATACTTTTCTTCCGTCTCTTCATCATTCGTACTGTCATCCTCTTCAATGCAAGATCGAGCATCTTCTTCTGAATCAGATAAATTCAGTCTCTTAATTGAACGTTTCTTGGGCTTTAAGAATGCATCTTCTTCGTCTGAAGAAACAATCATCAATTTTAATTTTGAATCCGCCGTGCTGACTTTCTCTGCTTTCTTTGCGCAGCATACAGAACTATTAAAAAGATCCTTCTCCTGAGAGATTTGATACTCCATTTCTGAATTTCTTAATTCTTTCACATTGGTCGATTTCGCGCTGGAACTTCCTGCATCGAATTCATGCGACTGTGACTCAATAGTATTACATCGTGATGTCGAACTCTTTAAATCTAAATCGCTCCTTTGTGTAGATTGAAATTTAGTTGAGCATAATTGCATAAGATATTCATCATCTATACTTTCTTCGATGTCATAAAACAATTTCTTCTGTGAAATATATCTAATTTCATCGCGCGCGTGTTCAGGCGACTGATTACTCTGTGTATTCTTCATGAATTCATACCTATCAATCGAATGTTCTATTTTGTTAGAATCAAAGGAGTTATTTAATATACTTAATTGTGTTATAGGAGAAACAAAATCGAGCATGCTTGTCCTTGTTATAGGTGTCTTGCATATGTGACTTTTTGTAGCGACTTCTGGCTGCTGTTCATTCCCACTTATGCAACCATTATTATCAGATTTAGATATATGTGTATCCACTATGCTTTTTGATTGGCTATCTTCATCTTCTGAGTCGTCTTGATATTTCTGTATTAACCGCTTTCTTTTCTTTTCATTTCTGACAATATTAATGTTCTTACCAACATTATCGTTATTTTTGTCCATAAATTCAGTTTTACTTTCAACTTTATTTTCATCCTTATCTGTGTATTTGTCTTCGTCGTCCGCTTCTTCTTCTTCCTCCTCTTCCTCTTCTACTTCGTCTATATCAGTTTCATTATCATCCATGTATTTTTTCTCATTTCTATGCTTCAAACTTGTAGATTGTTTGCCATGTTCCGCTTCATTCGTACCTGTCTCATCTGCATCTGAATTTTCGTTATCTGTAACTTCTGCTTCATCGTCTGCGAATGAGCACTTCTTCCTTTTCTTATCCTTAATATAGACATCATTCTCTTCAGGCTCGCTTTCACCACTATCACTTGATCCAAAAATATCGGCTTTCTTTTGACCGTTTAAATCATATTCGATCTCTTCTTCCTCATTCCACATCTCTTTTTCTTGCGTTTGCATTTCTGTTTCCTTCTGTTTCCATTCTTCGTTCCGTTTCAGAGACATTTGTAACTTTAAATGTTCTTTCAAACGCGTCAATTTAGCGCCAGGCTTGTTCAATTCGAGATCGGTATTGGCGGATAATTTATACCCGGGGAGTACTTCCTTGACCGGAATGGGACCGTTCTCAGTATCTTGCAGATGTATTATAGTTACTTCAGACTTATTATCAGTCTGCTTATTTGTATTAACAACGTGTTTGCAGAAAAATCTGTCCAACAAGCTATTTACACCTTTTGAATTTGGTTTTGCGTCGTCCGTTAAATCAATAATCATATCCGGTGATCCTTTTAATGTAAATTTAAAATTTGGCGCAAATTTTGGTGATAGCTTTTCTCTATCGAGTATAGAGATATCATTTGTAAATTTTGGAAGCGGCAAGCCAAGTACATGACCATTACTTTGATAATCTGCTTCACAAGAATCATTTTCAATCAATATTTTATGAGCAATAAAATCTGTGTTATCTTGTTGTGCAATCTCTTTTTTACCATGAGAATTTTGATCATTTATTTCAATATTTTGTGTGTCTTGAGCACAGATGAGTTCGATATCTGTGACGGATTGCTCTTCATTTGTAGTGAAAGATTTTTTTACATTGTCACAAGTGACTGAAGTGACTTCATGTGTATCATCTTCTGAATCTGAAGATTTGTAAAAATGTTCTGCTTCTTTTTCCTTTTCTTCAACGATTTCACTGTTCAAAGTGATATGTGAAGATTATTGATTTTGCACATGTTCTGGGATTTGTATATATTATATAGGTGCATATAAACATAAACTTACCTTACTATGGTAGACGACATTTTTAGTTTTGCAGCTGTAGAAGATGTTTTTGGAAGAGTCACTGATAATTTCTTTCTGTTTAAAAATTCTTGTAATGTACGTTGTTTAGGTCTATGATATGGCAAAGAAACTCTTGTTTCCCTCAATAAACGCTGACTTTCACTATGTATTTTATGCATTGCCTCATTTTTTGCAGCTCTTATAGAGCCCTATAAATATGAAGAAATATTGGAGAATAAATATAAAAAATTTATCTGAAAGCATTATAAACATACCTTTATCTTTTTAACAGATTTTTCTTTAGTATTCTTGATTTTGGACATATCAGTCTCATCAAATATGACAGAATAGTCTTTTGTTTCTTTCTCTTTTTCAGATTCAGATTCAAATAAAATTTGGTAATCATTAGTCTGCAAGGTAAGTACATACACACATATATATATATATATATATATATATATACACACACACACACACACACATACACACTTGTGCATGTGTAATATAAACATAAAATTTATACCAAATATTTCACTGTAGAATTAATCAAATAGTAAAAAATATCAAATATTATATTAAATCAAATAGTAATAAATATACTTAATATATTTACTTACAATAACACCTGTAGCTTTAGGAGATGTTTGAGAAGAATTATATATATTACACGTTTCTTCATTATCTTCAGATTCACTGTCCACTAGTTCTTTTATACTTTTTATAATTTTAGAGTTTTTCTTATATTTTGTAATTTGTGAATGTTCAAAATACTTGTTTTTATCAACAGCAAAAAATTTATTAGATGTTTCATATATAGTAATATCTTCCTCAGAATCGCTATCCACAAAGGTCATGAATTTCCTTGATGGAAATTTTTCACTAATATTCACACCGCCATCACCCAAGTATTTATCATCAATTCTCATTTCAATGATTTTGCTGACTTCACTGGAATCAATCTTATCATTCAAATTACCATTTTCAGCTATCAAATTATTAGAAACTTTATTATTTGGTATATCTTCCCGATTAGAGGAAATATTTCCAAGATTAGAGGAAGTATTTTCGAGAATAGATGAAGTATTTTCGAGATTAGAGGAAGTATTTTCTTCACTAAACAATATGCAAACAGTTTCTCTTGAATTTTCTTCAATGTTTCCATCTTGTTTTTGTCTATGTATTTCTTGTATGTGTTTATTGCATATTGAAATATCTTTAGAAATATCTTTTGAAGAAATATCTTTAGAAGATTCATCATTTCCAATATAATGTTCATTTTCTCCCCTAAACAATATGCAAACAGTTTCTCTTGAATTTTCTTCAATATTTCCATCATGTTTTTGTCTATGTATTTCTTGTATGTGTTTATTGCATATTGAAGTATCTTTTAAAATATCTTTTGAAGAAGTATCTTTAGAAGATCCTTCATCATTTCCAATATGATGTTCATTTTGATTAAGATCTTTATAATTACTTAAATAAACTTCCGTTACATTAGTAGTCGTTGGATGATCAACAACTGCCATTAACACAAATATAAACGATTTCTTTATTAGTAAAATGAAAAAAAATTCAGTGCTGAGAAAACAAGATCCGTGCGTGTACCTTCTTTTTCAAGCGCACGACATAGAAAATTTATAAAACAATATGCTTATCTTACTTTAACTATCGCTTAAGCCAATTGACACCGCACACCTCCATACGAGTTAACAGACTGTACTTGATGATTTTTCGCGCCAAATTTATCTTCCATAGGTTTGTTCGAGCAGAGAGAAACCTAAGAGCAGCACGCCATACGTTTTGGCCGACACGATTTTCACGCTGTTCGATGCGCCATCTGCACCCATTTTTTAGGTGGAACGTTCCCTACGCTCATTTTCAGACGCTGTCGGTAAAGTGTCGATTTGTTGTGTGTCCATTCTACGCCCATTTTCTGGCGATTCGTCTCCGTGTTAAGCGCATAATTGCGTGACTGAAAACATGGACTGCCCATGTTCTTAACCACGCAATTATGCGCTTAGCATAATTCTTTCGCGATTCTTTAGAGATTCTAAAAATGACGTCATGATTTCCGTTCGTGTATGAGTGTAAAGGGATGTCTACATTGAAAGTAAGTAGTAAGAAGTAGGAAGTAAAAATAAGAAATTGACCAACTACAGTCGAATATGAGAAGAATAATCAACTATGATTGATCAATTTCTTATTCTTACTTTCTACTTCTTACTGCTTACTTCCAATGTAGATGTCCCTTAAGTCCCAAGTCACAATAGGTGTAGTAAGCTTTAGGGTGCTATTTCACGTGTCGTACGACAAGCTTTTCGGATACGTTTATTGATTGGCGAATAGAGTATTTCTAGGTTCTCTGTTCGTCAACCAATGAACGTATCCAAAAAGCTTGTCGTACGACACGTGAAATATCAGTCTTATGCAAGATTCGATGATTATGCAAGATGACACACTGCGTCCGATTTCCGACGTACGACATCCGATATCCAAGAGAACAGCTTTCTAATAGAGAATTCAATTCTCCATTGGAAAGCTGTTCTCCTATTGGATATCGGACATCGGACGCGGTGTGAATTTTTAGGCTGGTATTTCACGTGTCATACGACAAGCTTTTTGAATATGTTCATTGATTGACGAACAGAGAACCTAGAAATACTCTATTCGCCAACCAATAAACGTATCCGAAAAGCTTGTCATACGACACGTGAAATAGCACCCTTAAGCCGTAAGAAATTAACCGATCACAACTGATTATTCCACTATGATTGATTAATTTCTTAAGGTTTAAAGCTTACTACGAACGGAACGAACAGAATCATGACGTCATTTTTAGAAATTTGTCCGCGTCGCATGCCCCAACGTGCTCCTACTCGCTTCAACGCACTCTGATTGGTCTGCGTGGTGACGTAAACCAATCAGAGTGCGTTGGAGCGAGTAGGAGGGGTGTATATCAGTTGGACACGGGGCAATTGGACACAGTCCAATCGCAAGTCGCTGTTCCAAGGGACCCTACAAATGTCTCTAATCACACGGTGCTGTGATTGGCTGTGTCCAAATGCACCGTGTCCAAGTGCACCGCTCCCGAGTAGGAGCACGTTGAGGCGTGCGACGCAAACAAACCTTAGAACATCTAAAGAATTAAAGCTTACTACACCTATTGTAGAGTATCGCTCTTGGAGCGATTAACCCAGGGCCAGTCGAACACGCTATAGATATAGGATGCTTTCCAATTGCTTAACACATCTTGACACACATGTACACAAAACCAGTTTTTTGGTCACATATTATCTAAAATATCTTGTAAGATAATATGCAACCAATAAACTGGTTTCGTATAACACAGTGTACGTAACTGGAAAGCACCCATAATTGCTATATAAGAGTGCGTTCAGATGGAGAAAAAACGGAACAGTTACGGAAAAGAGATATAGTGGGGATCAGCCAATCAGAGTAATTCCGTTTTTATTCCGTTATGTTGTTTGACAGGTAGGTTTCACTAGTGTCCCTAGAATACAGAGTCTGGCCATTCGGGCCGGATTCCCTCAAAATGGCGTATGTATGTCATGAGTGAACAGCGGAAGCTTCCTAGTTGTTTCGTAGTGGTTTTGACTAAAACAGATATCAAGAGAGTAAGTAATACAGTAAGATATTTTATATTTTCTTTTATTATTGTAATAAACATAAAAGATACCACTAACATTATATAACTCTTTAAGATTATACAATAATATACACTAGCTAGTCGCTCTCTAACCTCAAAATGCCAACAATATTCGTAACTAAGTTGGTTTTAAAGTATTACTGAAATAAATTTCACTAAATAAAACTAATTACAGGATACATATAATGCCTTCCTGCTGTGTAAGAAAATGTTCCAACTCTTCGAAAAAGGGTTTTTCTATGCATCGCTTTCCACAAAATATGGAGCGAAAGAAGCAATGGATTGCGAATATTGGTAGGGATTTCGACCTGTCCAAAATATATTTTATCTGCGAGATAAACTTTATTTTCTCTCTCTCTCTCTCTCTCTCTCTCTCTCTCTCTCTCTCTCTATACTCTTTGTGTTCTTAGTTTTTTATTTATATATTAAACTATATTAATATGCAATAGGCACATTTTCCAGCTGAGATGTGGGAAAAGCCTCGTAGTGATGGCAAAAAGAAATTAAAAGAGATAGCAGTTCCAACGATTTTTTTGGACAACGGATGTAGTCAAAATAAAAATGGTGCAACCTCTGTACGTGCAAATGACATTGGTTCTGCTTCTTTACATGTAAGTTTAACATAAAATGTATGTTATATATTTGAATAAACTATATGTTGTTAAAAATATATACATTTATATTAAGTGTACAATAAATAATAAGGTTGTTTTATTTTAGACTGAAGATCATATTACCAATATTAACAATATAAATAATGAAAATTTCACCTGTAATTCTATCGACAACGTAATAGAATCGACAACGGACAATATTAATGACATCGAGAAAATTATGGAACAATCAAAAGAGATGAAATTAAAACTTCAGCAAGCAAATTTAATTATCAATAAATTAGATAAGTCAAAGAGGATGCTCATAAAGCGTGTAAAACGACTGATGTACAGTAATAGAAAATTAACGGAAGAGAATCATATCCTGAAAAATATCAAGAACAATAAGAAAATACTTAATGATGATCAAATTAAAGTTCTCCATAAACAGTCTGCACGAGGTTGCAAATGGTCAAACGCTACAATCAGAAAAGCACTAAAATTAAAATTGTCATGTGGTAATGGCGGTTATGAGGAATTATTGAATCAGGGCATTCCTTTACCAGCGCAACGAACACTTCGAAGAAAATCCGTTTTGATTTTCAGCCTGGCATTTGTGAACAAGTATTTGACATCATAAAACAACGAGTTGCTGAATTTACGGATGATCGAGAAAGAGATTGCGTGCTGGCGGTAAAATTATAAAGCGTTTTATTATGTATAGAATGCGTATATCGTGTAAACGAAGAGGATTACAAACTCGACAATACAGTAGTAAAACTATGGCAATGTATCATAGTGTTAAGTAATATGTTATGTTTATAAGTTGTGTTTATAAGAAATACATAGTTGTGTTCATAAAATATTGATATATTAATTATTTTATTTATGATAAATGCAATACTGAAATAATCTTCCTTTCCAATATTTCCCTTTAATTTATATTTTTTTAAACGGATATGCATTCCCGCTGCATTTTGATTCGTTCCGCCATTGTGAGGGAACACAGATCTAAACCAATGAAAAGAGGTCTACGAATGGCCAGACTCTGTATTCTAGGGACACTAGCTGCGTCCAGCAGAGAAAGCTGTTTTACATCTGTGTAAAATTTGTGAATCTGATTGGTACATGCTCTTGGATTCAACTCAAATTAAGAGCATACTCCAATCAGATTGACGAATTTTACACAGTTGCAAAGCAACTTTCTCTGCAGAACGCAGACATTGCGTCGAGCATTGTGTTTGGTGGTGTTCGGTGGATTTTGAGCAGTGATAATTGTGTATTTTTTTGTATTTAAGTGAGGTTGTTGCCGAAAAATGACGAAAGGTATAATAAATATTTGTAAATTTTAAAACGGATGAAATACAATAAGATAAATATTTATCTATGCACACTACCGGCATAGTAACCTCACGCGTAAACCAAGTTAATAACCAAGTTATTAAGATTTTTTAATTGTTTGCATATTTAATTGTTAATTGACTATTCAAAAAAACGGGCTTTGCCGTAATGGTCTGTTACTGTGATAGTTTTATATTATCCTAACAGCACAGTGTCCAAAGGACGTACAGGGTACGTCGTTTGGGTAGTTCAAGAGGAACGAATGTGCACGCAAATTCTAGCAACTCAGTCTAACCTAATTACACTATGTATCAAAACATTCCTGCCGGTTAGTGCGCAATTACTTAAATGTAATTGTAAATGTAATTGTATATATATATATATATATATATATATATATATATATATATATATATATATATA